GCGACTTCGGTACTCACGGGAGTCGTTCCAGTTCTCCTCCGTCTGCGCCAGTCGTCCCTTCGCGGCCATCCACCCAAGCGTCGGTTCGTCCTCTGGGTGCTTGGCTAAGTGCGCAGGCGCGCTCTGCGCGATGGGTTTGACGTCGCGCGGTCGCTCGACCTCGAACTCGTAGGCAGTGGGGGCGGTACTAGTAAGGTTACCGAGCGCGCGGCGATTCCGCGTGACCAGGGCGTGAGGAGGGCGGCGGGAGCGTGGGTGGTTGGAGTGGTGACTGGACAGAGAGGCCGCCTACTGCGAGCAAAGACGATCGGGGTGCGGACGGAGACTTGGCGAGTGGGCATGACTTGAAATTAGAGGGGCGCAGGCGCGTTGAACGCGGCTCCTGCGCCCGGTGCGCATGCTGATGGCCAAGCGAGCGGATGGGTGGCGAGGCGGTGGGCGCGCTGAACGAGAACAGGGCGCGTCAAGTTCGGGGCGCGCGTAACTCAGAGGCCAGGGTGAGGGGGGTGGTGGGTGATGGTCCGTAATACTCACCGGAGTCGTGTAGACTCTCCTCTCCTCTCTGCAGATCTCCCTATTCCTCGCCCTACTCCTCGCTATGTACCGTCCTTGTGCTAGTCGGGGTCCCTTGAAGCACGCGTCGGCGTGTCCCGCGACTCGGCGAACCCGTCCTGGAGTCCATGCATTCGAGCCCATCGACGCTCTTCGCGATGGGGTTGTGTCTGGTTGCCGAGACCGCCGATGGCATAATTGACACCCGGTAGCTTGTGCTCGCCATTGCTGAACTCGAAGGACTCGCCTGAGAGGTTTCGAGGGACTCGCGCGAGAGGTTCTGTGAGCGAACCAAGCTTCCACACCCTGCTCAAGCCACGCCTGCCCGCTGCGGACGCAACTAAGCCGTGGCAGGCCTGAGCGACGCCTTTTTAACAGTGTTTTGGTGTGTCTACGTGGGGCTTGTGTCATGCTCGAGTCCGCGTGCCAACCTCTCGTGTGATCTCTTGCCCAAAAAAGATGACTGAGAGGAGGATTGACCCGAGACTAGGGTGAGTAGTCGACGGGATGCCGTTTGTGCACACTGGATTCGTGCAGCGAACGCGAAGCGGAACAGTCGGCTGTGGAGGGTGGCAGGGACTGACACGGGTGACGGGTGACTATCGAAGCGCAGGGGTGGGGGGCAGCGGCGACGGGTGGCCGCAGACTCGGAGGGGACTCATCGACAGCGGGGACACTCATCCTCTGGCCCGCAGCGCCCTCCAAGCGGCGCTGCGGAACGGTAGCACCGTGGACAACAGCGGATGCGGGGCGGCTTGGGTGACGGGCGACCTGTACGACCGCCGGTGGACTGGACAGCGGGGAATGCGGTGGTGGCGGTGTGGGTCGCGCGCGCGACGGGTCGGAGGCGCTGGATATGGCCGGATATGGTCACGTCCAGATATGGACGTGGCGGGCGGGCACGCTCGTCTCTCGCGTGCAGGGATATATGGTCGGGGAGGGTGGTGCGGCACGCTCATCCCTCGTGGGCGCCGCGCCGCGCCGCGGCGACTCGGTGGACGTGGTTGCACGCGGAAGTGAACGGCGCACTGTATGCTCGCATGCACACTATTGGCGACCACCGTTCACGCCGACGACCCGAGTACTTAGCTAATTATGGCAGAAGACATCAAACGCGACCGCGTACGCCCAACGCGGCGCACTCGTCCATTTCTTTCGTGATCGCCTCTGCTGGCAGGCTCTGCAGACTCGGCGAACCCGTCCTCGAGTCCACGCATTCGCACCTCCCACTCCTCGCACGCGCGCGGTGCAAAAAGCACTCAAGCGCATGGTCAACAACAAACATGCTATCGATGTATTAGAGTCGATGTATTAGAGAGCACAACAAACACGACACTCAACCGAAACCATCGCCTCTAACTTGTCCCAAGTGGATCGGCTTCCAGGACGCAGGCATCGCCGCCTCGCTGAGGGTGGGGTGCGCAGTCCGCATTGCTCCAGATGGTGGTGGCGAGGAAGTCTCCCCAGCCCTCACCCATGCCGCCGGATTCACCCCAGCCGAGGCAGCCGGAGGTGGCAGGACCACCCGCCAGACGCGTGCTGAGACCGCGCGAGAGCTCGTGGATCGCAATGCCAGCCTCAAGATCACCGCCACGGTACGGGTTCGCAGTATTCCAGAGGTGCATCCGGCAACGACCGTTCTGACCGTCAGGAGGAGTCATGAAGTTGGCTGCAACAAGGATGAGTTGCACGTTCTCCACTAAGCTACTTATGACTAACCGTTGTTGTACCCGCTGCCGTCTTGAGCATTGGCTATGACGCCATCGTTCTCCTCGCCACCGCGACCGAAGTTGTGCTGCTGGAAGTTACCCGAGACCTCATCGAAGCCGTACCGGTAGTACAGATCATGCACGAGGTTGCTGGTGTAGAACAACTGGGTGCCTGTCGCGTTGGCGTACTTCTGCGCCTCATCAAGCACATCCTCCCTCTTCGTCTTCTTCGGGACCTACGTGAAGTTGAATACCAGCAACTCGCCTGCGCGGGATGGGAGCAACCGACACCGGCGAGTCTGATGCCCAGCCGACGGCGGAAATGAGACGATGCGGCTGGGAGGCGCTCGCGGCGGCCTCGTACCAGTTGCCCTGCATCTCGACCTCGAACTGCGGCCGGTCGCCAGGAATTGGACCGTGCCACGCCACATCCGGATACGGAAACCCAGCTTCCAAACGAGCTCAAGGGACATCGAGTCGCCGTTGGGCACTTGGATGAACGCAGCCTTCGCCTTGAGGGGGTTGGCGGCGTCCGGGACGCTGCTCACAAGCCCGGAGATCGTGCCACGACCACTGACGAAGCGCGGCTCCCAGGTCGACTGCATCTTCTCAAGGTGCGCAGCACAGTTCTCCGTGAGGTCCTCCGTGAGCGCCTGGTTCGGCAGCGCCTGGTTCGGCGTCGCCGCGATCATGAATTGGAGCAGCGCACACGCCGGGTCGCCCAGCGCATCCTCCTGGTCCGCAAACGCATGGTGGTTCGCCATGAAGAACGGCGCGCTGGCGTGCTCGCAGTTCTACTGAGCCACGGGAGATCCCCGAGAGCCTGCTCAATGAGCGCGGCTGGCTTGCTGTTGCCGGGCGTGACCTGCTCGCTCTGCATCAATATTCCCAGAGCCTCATGCGCCTCCATGAGCTGCTCGAGATGTTCCGCGCGCGACTCAAGCTCCCCGAAGAAGTCGGCGCAGGGCTCCGAATGCGCATCCGGAAGGCCGCGCACGAGACCAGACACAAAAGGATCTGGCTCAGCCACGGCAAACCTTTAGAGTCAGACGATGTGAGTGGGTAGTAAGATGTGCATCGAGATGACGCCATTACATACCGCGTCACCGTAGGAGATTACGACACCGTCCTTCACGTCCACGTTGATGTCCCCGTCGGAGACCTCAATGCCGTGCAACAACTGGCGCACGTAGACGTGGCTCACGCCAGTGTTCTTGTCCGTATAGGAGTCCTTCCGAATGACGAACGAGCTGGCAGGCGGCGTCTCCCGCGTGAGCTCTTCTGCGAAGTGCTGCGCAACCTCAATTGGGTCGCTGGTCGCGTCTGCAAACCCACTGGACGCGTAGACGGGGTCCGCGTGGTAAACCGCATGCGGGTGCGCAGGGCCGAAGCTGAGGGTCTTCCGACGGCGGACCTGATTGCCGTTGCTGTTGCCACCGGGGTGGGCGAATGCGCCCGCGAGATCGATCGCAGCAACCGAAGCGACGAGTAAACGACGCATTGTAAAGAATGAAGTTTTGTTAGAGGAGCGAGCGGTCGTGTGCTGTGAACCCCCCACTAGAAGAGCTGGAGGGAGTGGCGGTGGTTGGGGAGAACCGGCTGAGCTGCGTACACGCCGTCCTTACGCTGATCGAAGAGTTGTCTATCTGAATCGGGTGCCGCTCTGGACTTGTAAGCAGCCTGGCGCGGCTCATCTGGCGCGGGGCCCCGCGGAGCATACGAGCTCGGCGCAGCCGCCGCGGCGTCCGATACGGCTTCTGGCTCGGCGGTGATAATGACTCGTCGGGGGCTGGCGGCATTGGGGTTGTAGAGTTTGCTTGGACTGCCGGCAGATGGGCCTGCCTGGTGTCGGGATGAAGGACGGGGAGAGGAGGTAGCGGTAATCTTGAGGCGGCGCGAAAAGCCATCAGCTCCGGCCGGCATCGCGGATGGCGAGGTCTACTTGACAGCATTGTTGGGGGTAGTAGTGGAGGAGCGTGCATCCGACGAGGAGCGGGCGCATGCGGTGGTCAGGGAGTGGAAGAAGAGCCTGAGGGAGCGGGCGTTCGGCCAGCTCGTTTTGCTACACTGCGAGCGCAATCGCGGCGGGTCAGTCTCCATGCGAAAACCCGGCTACGGAGCTACATACGCGGCATGCCTGCGCTGGAACGCGACAAATTTGTCTGCAGGATCTGTGTGTTGCACCAGCCTGCGGGGCGCGGCCGTGGGGAATGGCTGCGGCGACTCGGACCCGGTGGTGAGGGCGATGGCGAGGGGCCTCCCGGTGACGAAGACAGGCGGAGGAGAGGAGGATGAGGCGCCCGGGCCCGTCTGTAGCTTGCGGGCGTTCGTCAGGAGCACGTACGTCGGGCGGTAGGCTCGGCGTACCCAATGCGCGATGTTCGGCGGCGAAGAGAGGGGCGGCAGTGACTGGGTGGGCACGTCCGGTGAAGGCGTACCGCCGATTTTGGAGCAAGCTTCCTGCTCGCTTTCCCTGCTCCCCGCGCCCGTGCTCCTACTATGCTTCCCTCCTCACATCATCCCCGCTCTGCGCTCGTCGTGTTCTGGACAGTCTTGTCGCTCGAGGCTGGACTTGCGCGAGAGACCTGGTTCGCGTGGCTAGGTTGCTTGTCACGCAGAACCACGGGACGTCGAGAGGAGGTTCTCAGATTCGAGAGGAGGGCCACCTGGGTCAGGAGCGCGAGCGGGAGACCGGGAGAGGGTAGAGGGTGATTCCTTGACAAGCTGAATGCAGCAAGAGCAGCGCGCTGGGCGCTAACGCATGGACCGCTCACACGCACCGTTCACGCGGACTCGCCGCGCGCGCCATGCTCGACCTCATCAGTGCACCTAGCAGACTCTGGCTCAGCGACGGCGCCATATTCATGACCCTCTCTGTCGACCGTGTCCTGCTCTCGACCAGCCCGGACAGTTGGGACTTGGCCGAGATTTTCTCGTATGCCACCGCTTTCGGTATCTACCTCACTGCCCACCATCACCCTCGTCCCTATTTACCTGCATGAAGGCAAAGCTCCTACAACAAATTCGGCGTAACGTTGGAAAACGGGCTCACGCAAGGCTCACGCAGGCGACGAACCACAATGACCGCGTCCTTCACTCGATTGTCTACCTCCACGTCGCCATCATCTCGCAGGCTCCCATCTTCACCGCACGTTCGCAATGATTCTTCCGCCGCGCTGCGTCATCCAGCTCGTGTCCAGGATCGTCGCTGAGTACGCCAGTTGGGGTTTCGCTGGTATCCACGGAATCTCACTTGGGTGGGTATTGCCTGGGACTGGGTGCGCCTTCGATTATCTCATTGTGGCCCTCTGCATTCTCTAACCTGCGCGCCTGCAGGGCATCATCTCGTTCGTCCCTCTCGACTGGATCAGGTTCGCGATGAAGGCCACCATCATCCAGAGGCTTCATGGCTGCTGCAACACCGCAATGGTGCAGGCTTCCGCCGCCCAGTTCCTGCGGCTGGTCCCGCGCGGGCAGAGCCGGGCTGCGCCCCCGCTCGCGAGGTTACCGGGGGCCGCAACGCGCGCACTGAGGGCGCCTCCTGAAGGCCGCGGCCAGGCAGCAACGGCGCGCACCCCGGGCTCAACCTCCGCGGTGCGCTTGCGGTTCTGGAGGTACTGGCTGATGCTCAGCCGCAGCTCTTCTGGCGGCGATCCTGCATCGATGTTCGCGTTGGGGTAAGGCCCGGGTGGTCGCATCTGCAGGGTCGTCAAAGGAGGACTCGGTTGCAGTCTTTGGTCTCCTCCCCGCGGCGGCCAGCAGAGCGAGTTCGAGCTCGCGCCTCTAGTTCGCGCCGGCTGCAGCCTGGCCGCGCCCGCCCGAGCGCCAATCGACCGGCCTGCGCCTGCCCGCTTGCCATTGCCCCGGAGCACCCAGGTTGGTGGCCGCCGCCGCCTGCGCGCTGCGCGTTGCATGCGCCGCCTTGGCTGGGCATTGGCTGCGCGCGCGCAGGCGCCCAACTTTCAGGTCCCGGGAGGCTGGGCGGACCGCCTTTTCCGCTGGCCCCAACGCGCTCTCCAACCGCACCGCGCCGCGCCCGCTCACCTGCAGAAGACTCCTGCAACTCGTGAATTTCAGCCTGCCCGCTACCGGCGACTTCGCCGGCGCCGAGATCCTCCCCTTGGACGCCGGCTTCTGCTGTCCCCGCGGCAGCTTGGCCAACTTCCTGGTGCCCTTAATCACCGGTATCCCCATTGCCGCGCCCAAGGCACTCGCCCCCGGCGCCCAGCAGCTTATCGAAAAACCGCGCCGCCCCCGCAGGCGCCTTGCGCTCGCGCCGGGACCGAGTTGCCCGATTTCGAGCCTTTCTGGCGAGCGCGCAACTCTGCGCACCCCACGTTTGCACCGCTACCGCCCGCCTCTTCATGCACTTCGCCACCTTGAGTGCTGCGCCCAAGTTCGACTTTGTGCCCCCTCCATGACCACCTCTAGGCAGGCTCCGCACTGGCGGCGGCGGCACCGGCAACGAGGACCGGTGGAACGACGGTGGACGCGAACTGCAGAGCGAGAATTAGCACGATAGTTCAGAGCCAACATTGATTTCATAGATGTTCTGTTCCTAAGCCATATCGGTACGGTGCAGCCCGAAAACTGCCAGGGGTGAATCTGTACGACTACGAGTGCATACTGCGAGCGAGCGGCGAGGAGATAGAACATACGACGAGTATTATGTGAGTGAATGAAGTGCAAATGGTAAGCAAGGTAGAATAATGCGAAGACCGCGCGGAAAAGGCGGGGAGGACTCAGGCGTCGCTACGATCGTAAAGCAGGCCCGAGCCGCCTCCACCTGCGAACTGAATGAGAACATTAAAGGATACCACCGTGGGGACTGGTGATCGCAGAAAGCAATTCCTCAAGAAGCCAGCTGTCGATTGCATTGAGGAGGGATGTCGGCTTGTCCACCGAATTTGGATCGTATACCTCGTGGACGAGCTGTGCGAGGTAGGCAGTCGGAACGACACCCTCCTTGAAGCATGTCTGCCAGCTGACGATGCCTTCCTTTTCGCAGAATGCGCGGCTCGCGACAGGGCAGGCATACGCCTCGTCACTATTGCCGACGAAAGTGATCTGGAAAACCGACTCAGGATCCATATGCATACTAACGATGCAGACCTGCTGCGAGTACGAACCTTGATTTTCTCGCTACCCACAATCGAGTCGGAGCCAGTGGCAGCGATGGCGAGCATGCGAGGGCGGAAGCTCGGAGAGTCGATCTCTTCAAGTGAAACGAGGTCAGAGGTGAACGTCCCGGCAGCTCGCTTCCTCTCGAACGACGCAGCGCAGGGAATGCCTGTGCGCTGGAGGAAGCCCCTGACCACATCCCCTAGACTGGCACGCCCATCGTCGAAGGCTATCGTCTTCAGGGGAAGAGGGACTGTGTGCTTGACGATAATATCGAGGTAAGGCTTGAGGCTTTCGTAGCTGCCAATTCGCGTCGAACAGGCCGCCATCACGAGTGCAGCTGGTCCACCGGCGAATGCTTGAGCAGCCTGAAGAAGACTGTAAGAAAGGTAGTCCCTCGGCTGATAGTGCTGCATTAACGAACCTTCGACAACGTGAACCCGTTGTGACACGGCAACTCGAAGCCTGCGCGGAAAGCACGAGTATCGGTATGCTCTGCAACAGTGTCGTCGCCTAGCAGAGCCTTGTACAGGAGCATTGGGGCAAAAGCAGCATGGGTTTCTTCGTCACGAATCGTGTATAATGCAGTCTGCAAAATCTCGTCTTGTCATCTACAAAGCAGATCATGTGCGGCGACTTACATGCTTCCCAAGGTAAATGACAAAGTCTTCTTCAAATGGTGTGAGATCGCCAGTCGTCCCAATGCTGTCGAGCTGGATGATCTCCGCTGCGAGACGAGGATGGAAGGCCTGTGTGACCTCGCGCGTGATCGCCTCAAAGTTGCAGCCATTGAGAAGATAGATCAACCATTCTCCTGCGATCTTCGGGATTGCCATACCATTCACCAAGCAGAGGCCGACGATGGCACCGAGGGCCCCAAGCTCTTCCTTCTGTGCAGGACTCAAGGCTCGCGGAGGGCAAGCAAGGACGTTGGAGTTCTCGCCAAGCCTCGTCATGAAGTACGATGGTAAGCAGCGAGAGAATTCTGCGAGCAGTACCATCATTGTCTGCCGTTCAAGCCCATCGCCGAACGACGCAACAAGAGGCAGGTCGCCAACTTCGTGGTGCTGTATGCTGAGAACGACGAGCATTACCACGAGGAGGAACACATGGGGCACTAGAGACTTACGCGCGGAACGATCGATTCATGGCAAGGATGTGGGTGAAGTCGCCGTTGACTGCAGCCTGGCCAAGCATGTCCTTGAAGATGACTGCCATATGCGGCACGTCAGAACCGTCGATTCGGAGGCGACAAGAAGGCCTCTGGCCATCAGATGCAGCCTCAAAAACTGCATTCCTGAGCTCTGCTAGAGCCTCGCATCGTACAGCAGGGTGGTAGGACCCAGACGCCGGACGATATGGAGTCGACCATCCCAGTCGAGGAGGGATCAAGTCCAGCACGAAACATGGTATAGTCTGTGTTCGCTGCAGAGCAGGGATCGATGATAGCTGCATAGGTGTTAAGCAGCGATGACTGAATAACAGGCACGACACTTACTTGTGCCTGCCCAGCTCTGCGCAGCCGCGCCGATACTCGTTGTCGGGGGTGGCTCGGAGCATTGGACACTGCCGCAGGAGCAGTTGGACCAGCAGGTCCATCGTCGAGGCTGAGCGACTCCAACCCAGGACTAGTAGGGCCAACTAGGCCAAGGGCTTCTTCAACCTCGTCATCGGTGTCGCTACTACTAGTAAGCTCCGAGTCTCTGGCTAGGCACGTCGAATCACAGAGCACATTGCTATCGCGAGCATGCCCCGATCCAGGTGTCCCATCGCGTGGCAGCCCATTATAGAATCCGTCCGAAATGCAGGTATGCGGAAGAGGCGGGCTATCAGGGAGGGCAGAGGGAAGGCGAAGCGAGACTGGGGCATTGGCAACGACTAATGAAGTTGGAGTAAACATGTGCCTGCAGCGAATGAGTAAGGAATGGACACATACCGAAGTAGACATGAAGTGCACCATCCCGGATACAGAGACGAGGCTTACAGAAGTACAAGACAAACATAGACGACGCGAGGGTGGCGATGGTCATGTCTGGTGCAACAGGGTAGCGATGGAGCCATGCCTGTCCATCTTGGGTGGGAGTACCCTTGTTATGCAGCGACAGAAGCTGAAGCTCGAGCTGTTCGTGGCGATGCTGCGAGAAATTGAGTACCTGGGCGAAATCGTAGCCGAGAGGTGACGCCCTGAGATCGGCGATAATATCCTCAACAAAAGTGACGATGGATGTTTCGAAAGGGCGCTCATACGTGCGCGCAAGGCCGAAGGAGTTGAGGTAGTCTCGCATGGTGGAGTAGCGAAACTGGAAAAGGGGGAACTTGTAGCCCATCGATTCGGCATCTGGAGCGAGCTACAGCAAGCGATTCAGCAAAGTAAGCCACGATTGATCAACTGAAAGGCTTACAGAAGGAGGGTATACATGAGCGACGAGCCGCAATTGACCAGCTTCAGTCAGGCATGGGCCTATCTCCTTGTGTATGCCCCGGGGGACGACCGGAGCCTGGCTGCGTCGCGATCGGGTCGCTCGGGGAGCCGAGCTCGCCCCACGAGGCTGCCGACTTGGACCAGCTGCATTACGAGCAGCTGATGTTCGCCTCTCGATGTTGACTCGCTGCGAGGTGCCTGGTGCTTGTGTCGCATTGAACCCGACGAATGGCTGGGTCGGCGAGGGGGCAGCAAGTGGCATCGCAGCCTGCATAACACCTGGGAAGCCGAGCGAAGGTGCTGGCTGAGACCCATAAGTAGGAAACAGGGGGGCAGGGGCAGCCGAAAATGCGAGTTGCGGAGGTTCAGGTGGGGCCAGCGACGACAACGACAGGTGGCTCCGATGGCTGTGATATGGCGTGATCGGAGGTGCAGCACTCGCAGCAGCAGGCGATGCATCAGGCTGTCCAGTGTTGGGAGCTGACGACGACATGGTGGGACCCTGAGGGCCTGGCGACGATGCTGTCGGAGTCGAGTCGAGAGCCCGGCGAAGCTGTGCAAGCTGGGCAGGCGTGAAACCAGCTAGTAGGCCTGGGTCGAGCGAGGATTGCGAAAGGGGGCGATTATCCATGGCAGGCTAAGAGGTATCGTCAACAGGAAGGACTATTGGGAGAGCATGGATACTCACTGTGAATCTGAAGTGTCGTAAATGAACTATAGCTGCAGGGCAGCGACGAAGAACCAGACTCGGAGCTTGAAGTATACAGTGAACTCTAGTAAAGCGATGGGTCAGCTCGGATGGTAGCAAAGAACGAGAAAAACCCACAAGTCGATGAAGAGGCCAGACGACCTTTAAGGATATGAGCAAAGCATCCAGAACGATTGGCAAGGCACTCACCGATATTATGGAGAGAATAGTATGCAACAGTGAATATTGCGAGCAATGAATCTTGAGAGAGTCCGAGGTCAGGGGCATGTATGGAAACGATACACAAGTTCGAGGCACTCACGAGGTTTGGCAAGTATTAACAGTGGGCGACTGGAGGCACTTCGGTGTCAGGAACTCGACAGCTAATCCATCGTGAGAGGGCAGAGCTCACCGATAGGGTTGTTTGAGAGGCGACAAGCTGTCAACTCGGACGAGCTCAGAGGGGAGTAAGATGGAGAGAAACTCGACGACTGAGGGGACACTAGGCCAGGTGTGACGATCCGAGTGTTGCAGGGGAAGGCGGGCAGCCTAAGTCGACTCGTTGGCTGGCGACGACAGCGACCTCTAGTAATAGGGGCAGCAGGTAAGCCCATGAGGCATCACGAACAAATAAGCACACACCTCGTACCGACCTCGCCTACAGTGGTCTTCGGCTTCGATCACTGGAATCGATGCAAGGATTCTAAGGAGAACAGAAACTTCAGCATCGTGCAGTCCCTGAAACACGCAAAGACTGAGATTACCGAGGAGAAAGATTTGCGACTCCTGGCAAAGGTCGGAAATACAATCAGCCACGACTCGGGGTAGGTCGACCGAAGCTCCAACCAAAGAAGCGACCCACCTCGCATAGTCCAGGGAATCCGTACAGACCGAGATTCACGAGTAGGGATTCACTATTGGCGAACACTGGAAATGTGGTCGCACATACGAATAGGCTGACCAAAGCTCCATGTTTGAAGTACCAATGTATATCTCTACAGGACGAGTTTACATATTCACTGTAGGGAGTCGAATATCAGATTATGACCGAGCAGTGCAGAATTATACTCTACCTCAGCTAGGGCAATGTGTACGACAGTCGGCACATCTAAGTACGAAGTGTACGAAGTTAAGCGCCGACTACAGACGAAAAGTACGATTTCCTGTACAACTTATCAGTAAGTAATTTTCCGTGATAACGACCGTCATACACATCCGCTACAACTAGTCACGACCTACTTCAGTCACCTCACCATGGAACGCGCACCACCACAGCAAAAGCGCATGGTACATCGTCTGCAAATTCGTCTCCGCGAAGCTCGAGCTGACCTACGAGAAACCAAATTTGTGCACAGATGCTCGCAGTCGCGGGCGCGGTAGCACTCGGCGCAGCCGGGATCTACTACTCACGGCCATCAGGCCTCGCCCCGAAGACAGCGGCGCAAAACGACCTCAAGTCTAGCGACAGTACGTCTCCCCTGTCTATTACGCTTGGTGTGCCGACCCAGGCGTGCAGAGAAAGTCGACGCGAATCCCACTGCACAACACAACATTGGGGACGTCCGCGAGAACGCCAAGTGAGCGAGCAAGTTGGCGATGTTGTCACGTAAACCTTGACCAGGAGAAGAGCACGCGACACAAATGTACCTACCATGCTGTACGTTAATCTGTTGCACGGTAGCGTCAGTTCGACTTGCGGCACAGACTAGGGAACGGCATCGAACAGCATACATATCCATTCATTGCGCCTAGCCCATCGCAGGGCAACACATGCATCTCCCTCATTCTACAGCAGTATTCTACAACAGCAGCGCCATCACATCAGCCCCTACTTATCAAAGTCTACTTACCCCGCGTTACGGCTACAGTGTGTACCACATCCCAGTAGGCTACATAGCTGTTTTACACCTCGGAGACCCATGGCGATTTCGGCGTCGTCCTCGTCCTCGTCTTCGTCCTCGGTCCCGTGCTCGTGCTCGCCTCCTCCCGTCGCGGCGCGAGCAGCGCAGTATACACCCGCTGAGAGGAGTTTATTCCTCGAGGAAGAAATAATTACCAGAAACTACACAGGCAATGCGGTCAAACGGACGGAGAGATGGGGTGGAACGTAGAACGGACCTTTCTGCTCCTTGTCCTTGACACTGTGCATCTTGTTCACGCGCGGCCGGAAGTTGGTCGGGTCGCGGCGGAACGTGATCTCGAGCGAGGCCAGGAACTTGTTCATGCCCGTCAGAAGCGACTGTGGCCTATACACACCACCACACGATTAGCCACCGCGAGAGAATCAGGGAAAATGGAGAAACGTACGGAGTAGCGGTCGCCGAAACGGCGGGCCTGCCCTCGAAGACGATGACGCGGTCCGCGAGGTAGGTCGCCATGATGAAGTCGTGCTCAATGATGAACGCCGTCTTCTTCGCGTGGAGGATAAACCGCTTGATGACCTTGCTCGCGATGATACGCTGTTCGGAGTCCAAGAACCTGCACCACCCGTACTCAGCTTCAAGCATCCCAGCCTAGCAAGAACAACTTACGAGCTGGGCTCATCGATGAGGTACACCGACACGTTCGGCTTGCCGAGCGCGAGAACGATCGCGACACGCTGGAGCTCACCACCAGAAAGCGTCTTCACTTCCTGATCCAGGATCGGCTCCAGGTTCATCGGCTTCATGACATCCGTATTGAACTGCGGGTGCATAAACGCGACCTTGATGCGCTTCAGCAGCAGCATCCTAACCGTGCCCGGGAAGCTCGGCGAGATCGTCTGGGGCTTCAGCGACACGCTGAGCGACTGCTTCGCCGTCTCCTCGTCGGGCGTCTCGCCCGCGAGCAGGCGCACGAACGTGGTCTTGCCCGTCCCGTTCTCGCCGAGCATGACGATGATCTCCGAGTCCGTGAACGTGCCCGACTCAACGGTCAGCTTGAACCCGCCGAGCGTCTTCGACATCGCCGGGTACGAGTAGTGCCGCGTCTTGTCCACAATCAGCTCCTCCGCCGTCTCGACCATCTTGAATGAGAGCGACTCTTCACGGAAGCGTAGGTTCTCCGTCGGGATGAAGCCGTCCAGGAAGATGTTGATGCCTGTGCGGTGTGAGGGCGTAGTAGGGTGAAAGTTGGGGCGACTCACCTTCACGCACGGAGTAGGGCATCGTGACGACACCGTACATCGAGGGCTTGCCGTAGAGACAGCAGATGAAGTCGGAGAGGTAGTCCAGCACGGACAGGTCGTGCTCGACCGCGACAACATAGTTGTCTGGCGTGAGCAGTTCGCGGATGACTTCGGCCGCCTTGAGTCGCTGCCTGATATCCAGGTAACTCGACGGCTCGTCAAACATGTATCTAAGCGCAAATGTCAATAGACCTCAAAAACAAGATCTGCGCCACGCACACGTCCGCCCTCTGAATGCACGACATCGCGATCGCGAACCGCTGAAGCTCTCCACCCGACAGTTGCGACACCTCCCGCGTAAGCACTTCGTTCAGCTCCAGATCGTCGCACATCTTCTGCTTGTTGTCCCGCTCCAGCTTCGAGTCCAGCATCTGCGACACCGAGAGCACGCCCTTGATCGCGCGGGGAATGTGGTCGACGTATTGCGGCTTAATCAACGCCTTCAGATTATCCTCGAGCACCTTCGTGAAGTAGTTCTGTAGCTCTGAGCCGCGGAAGTACTTGAGGATCTCTTGCCAGTCGGGCGGGTCCTGCGGGGAGGTCAGCGCACAGCCACGGATAGAGGCAGCCGGCTCGACGGACATCGTAGCGACCCAAATTCGGCTTCAGCTTCCCCGCGAGGATCTTCAGCGCGGTGCTCTTCCCGATACCGTTCGTGCCCACGAGCCCAAGAACTTGGCCCGGTCGCGGTGTCGGTAGCCGGTGCAGCTTGAACGAGTTGGCGGTATAACGATGGGTGACCTGTGAGTCGAGGTTCGTGGGCAGGTTGATGATGGCGATCGCTTCGAACGGACATCTGTGCGTAGGTGAGCGGTAGGTTCTGCTAGTGGAGCAGCACGTACTTTTTGACACAAATACCACAACCTATGCAGAGGAACTCGGAGATAAATGCGATCTTGTCTGTGGGCTTAACCTCTATACAGAGCTTGCCTGCGCTGCATGAGTATGACCATCGCAGCACATCCGGATAACCACGTACCCATTTTCACTACTGGACATGACTTGCCTCTATTCAGTCATTTCCTCAATCCGCGATGGTCGATTTGGCATACCTTCTTGCACTCCTGCGCGCACCGCTTGGGCTTGCAGCGGTTAGAGTCGACGATAGCGATACGGGTGATTTTGTCGGAGGACATGATGTGCGCCAGGCGTGGAAGAGATGGAAGGAGGACGAGAGAATGTGAATGGCTGCTGAGGCAGCGTCAAGCTGAGCTGCCTCTGGTCTCCGACCAGAGATTTTTGGCGGCCTTCGCGCGGGCCAATCACACGCTGCCGATCAGAAATCAAGGCGCCGGACCGTCGACCGCCTGCAGCGCAGCCACAGCCAAATATTCTATGAGCACCTTACCTCCGCAAATATTTCGTCGCGGATCCACCATCTTCACCAATTTTCACCATTATATTACACTAGGAAGGAGGAGGACTATTGTCACCTAGGCCGTGAGTGCGTGAGCAGTAGACCGGGAACACGCCGAAGGCATGCATGAACGACATGTGCGGCTTCCTGAGTGACCTCAGGCTCGACCAACTTCAAGGAGACAACGGGATATTTTTACAGTATTTCTATCTATCTTCTACTCGTATATGACCTACTGAAAGAGAAACGCGCTGCGGAAATTCATTCGAGGGAGTTCGACACCATCACCTACGGATTCGCATTTCTAGTCGGAACTTGGATCATCTGCGTAACATCAGAAGTACCTCCTGGAGCGGCTTCGAGCCCTACCCTGCGGCGGCGCTGAGCCTTACTGTCCAGAGCCAACTCTTGAGACGATTTCGGGCTGCCATATCTTCACAGCTCATTCTCGCGCGTAGTCGCGTCAGATGAAGCTATCGTGGTTCGAGTAGGCCAAGAGGGAGATAGGTAGGGTTATAGAACACTTTCTGATGCGCGTATAACAACCCTGACGAGGAGCTAGACGCATCCCACATTGAGATCAGCACGCGCACAAAGACTTCGCACCACCTGTGGACGCACCTTGGGTCTACTTCTCCATATGTAGGGCTCAAGTTCCAGTAGATTGGGGTGACAGTGAGGATGCCTCGCTTGTGCCATGGCGCCAGTAGGACGCGTACATACGGAACAATCTTGTGCGCTCTCATCTCCGCGACAGCCTTGTTATCTTCTATAGACACCATGTCCGTTGAGTCTAATTCCACCGTTGCTTGTACTTCCCGCAGCAAGTCGAAGTTTGAGCGCTCGAGTACATCATGGAGAGGGGGCCGACCGCTGTCGGAGGCCGCTAGCGGAAGCATCTGCCCTACAGCCGTCGTGGTTCTGCAGACGAGGTGGATCAGGATTCGCTGCATGTCCAAACTCCGGACGCTAGAAAGCACGGAGAGCAGTTCCTCTATGATGCCTGGCCACACAATGCCACTCGTTTCAGTCAGTCGCCTGGACATAGTCATCTCCAAGGAGCGAAGACGGTAGTTGTGTGCAAGGTCGACGTGGCTACGTTTCTCTGACACACTGCTATCAGCGTGTGCGCAACTACAGCGACAAGACAGCGGCATACCGAAGCGGCCCTGATGTTCGTGGAAGTCGAGCAACGCCCCACCGATGGCTTCAAGCAGCCGATTAACCGAGGTAACGCTCTCGAGTGAGTCTCGCCAGAACTCCAGATGAGCTATGGACCGACACGTGGATGACATAACGAGCCAGTCGATGAGGGCCTCCAGTACCGGGGAGCTCAGTTGTATACCAAGCACCAGTGTCTGTATTCGCAGGCTCTGTGGCCCAGCCCCGGGCATAAACCCGCTCTTCTTCTCTTCGTCCTGTCCCTTGACGCTCTGCGTGAACTCCCCACGCGAGAGCGACAAGTATATCAGCCGCGGGAACGCACACAGCACCCTCCGCAGCTCCACAACGTTCGAGAACCTGAAGCCGCCGATCTCGAGCCGCGATACGCCCGTGAAAGCTGAGAGGTAACGCGCGAAGGTCGGATGCATGAGCGGCTGGAGGCAAGCATGGAACGCGAGGCGCTCGACTGCGGGCATTGCGCGCCCGAGGGTGAGGGGGACAGCGTGGCAGAAGAGCGGGCCACTGCGATGCATGACGCGCAGTTCCTTGCTCGTCGCGAGGCGCGCTCGGGCGGCGGGACTCGGGCGCGAGATGGTGCTGAACGCGGCGCGTTGCCGGATCTCGATGGTCCGGTAGAGGAGGCGGATGCTCTGGTGGTGCCAGGCCTGGCAGACGAGGGCGGCGCGGTATAGGCTTGCCTGATCCATGTGGTCCATGATATGCTCGTAAATGTCGAGCGGGATGCGCTGGCAGAGCTGCGAAGAGAGTGGCTGGAGGATGGATTGTGCTGTGCTCGGCTTGCCTTTTAGCCCTGGGGTAGGTATATCAACATAGAGAAAGCTATCAAGCAAAGTGTGCTACGTACAACCTGCAGCAATCACTTCCCAGCGGTACTCTGGGTTGTACCGCTTGCTCGATAGGACGTTTGCAGGTCGGTATGTCGCGGAAGTCGTGCTCATAGTAGACGGACGTGAACCTGGATGTTGGCGACACCGTCGTTACTAACGATGGTTTTGTAAGTGCTGATGCGCTGACTTGAGTACTCTGCGATGTATACGTAAGTAGCACGATGGCAATACAGGACTTAAGGTGGCTTATACAGATGCGAATGCGTACTCACCCGCTCACTGTAAAACCATCATTTGACGCAGGACCTATCGAGTATAACCAAAGTACAGCTGCCACTGGCAATGGATGGTCCCGTCAGTGGTCCACTGACCCTCAGGTCGGTATTGCTGGCATGCCAACGTACATTCAGGATGGGTGTGTGATATGGAATAGCCCCATATGGTAGCCCACCGTGACACGTACAGTATCCCCGTGCCTGTCCAATTCTAGAAATAATCCCACCCGGTACCCATTGATCAGTACTGATCAAACGTACACTCCTCAGGGAACGATACGCACTGACCTCTGTGACGAACAATGGATGTAGGACCATGCTTGGAACATGACTGGCACCGTGGTGACCATGCTACCGCCACAGCTCTGCAAGCGATCGGAATTCATGTAAGCAACACAGTGACGTCCTACCTCCGAGTCGTATGATTATGAGCCCATTTCTAAGCCTCAAGTTATCCCGAGGGGACGAGTATGTTGCAGGCCTGCAGCGAGCCGAAAGCTATGGGGCTTGGAGTGCCAGCGAAGGAAACAAAGATCGCATCCGAGTCGCGGCGCACAACTCGGAGGCCCGGGCGCAACGTGAATTGCACAGAATTTGACTCCGAGAGCTCCAGGAAAGCTTAGTCTCCCGTCGGCAGACTCTAAACGAGACCTCTTTGAGTGTAAGGAAAGCTGATTCTGAAAACGATACTATGCCGGTTACGGGCCCAGACATCCATTGTTTATGTTACCCCTAGCTTATTGGCTCGGGTGTCATGTGCGCATTGGGGCTCGACTCAGGCGTATTGCTTTACAGCGCCGACCATCCCGGTGTTTCATGAACATCTCTTACGCGACCTCACAAGCTAACACCTTGACTGTAAGTCGCTCCGCGGTTGGCGGATCTTGATGTCTCCGAATCCGTCAATATCTCACTTTAATTTTCCGCCTCGACTCATCAGACTGCTTGTCCCAAGGCCGGTCCGTAGTTGTCGGACGGCGAACGCAACACTCCGAGAACTGAAGGTATGTGCTGTCAGTGCTGAGCCACGGTGCTCACAGAACGATAGACGCGGCCGCCGGCAATGAGAACCGCTACGTTGGGCTCCATGCAATAGCCCCGAGTCGAGGAGCCCACAGCGAGCGAAGAGATCGTAGATCAGCCAGTAAAAATGTGCTCTGCCGCCGGTGCGCTTCTTCCACTACCGATTATGCGGTGCCCCGTTCGTCTGTGGTCACTACAACTTGGTGGCCATTCGGCCTTTACCCCACGATCTTTTTGCTGACACCACCATGACAGGACTCTTTCACAAGCTGGAAGCTCCACATGTATCTGCAATGCAAGTCCCCGTATTCGGCTGGTGGCCGCCTGTGCGAAAGGACAGACTATTGCAGTCTGAAAATGAGCAGTATGCGTGACGAAATCGGCGTGGCAAGGCATAACAAGGGCATGATGCCGCTGATGTTCGGACCAACGGTTGATCATATCACGTCTAAAGGGGACGACCGAATTTGCTGATATGTTTTACCTCCTATTCAAGATGATTTACTGGGAAGTTTGAAAAGGTTTGAAAGAGGGGCGCTTCGCTTCCGGCACAGGATAGCGCGCCTTTGTACTTACGATGGAATGACCTTGGTGGCACTTTTTCCTCGTTAAGCACACCCTCCCTTGTTGCATTTATCCTGGTCGTTCTGACGATGGCTTCTCCGCGTCCAAGTAATAGTCGCGCCTTTAGTACCGGCACTTACTACATGCTTGTTGTCAGGATTGCGGGCTGGGAGTACTGGTCGACGGCGGAAAGCTGGCGCGTACGTATATGTTGCGCCCAAATGATGGATAAGCCCACTTCGTTGATTGTGGATTTGCGCGTGGAACCTTGGCGACCACCAAATGGCTGCAGTCTTTCACCTCTACGTTCAATGCCGCTGTGTTACCTGCCGACTCAACGCCATGTTAACGACTCGTCGGGCCACTTTACAATGCCGAGGGTGAGTGCATTATCTGCCGATCACAACGTGCTTCGAAGGTAGATGATGTTCTTCCAGGGACCAGCCTGGTAAGCGTGGCTTCTCCTGCAGACTATGCGTGCATGCGCCAAACGTGTGATAGCTTCCTGGTAGAAGAGCTGCCGCTAGGGAAACGTCGCCACACGGATCACGTTAATTCATC